AGAGAGAGAGGGAGACACAGAATCGGAAACAGGCTCCAGGCTCTGAGCCATCAGCCCAGAGCCCGACGCGGGGCTCGAACTCACGGACCGCGAGATCGTGACCTGGCTGAAGTCGGACGCTTAACCGACTGCGCCACCCAGGCGCCCCTGTCCTGCACTGCTCTTATGTATTTTGATAGCTCTGTTGCTTTCTGGTATGACACACTGTTGTAGAATTATCTTACAAGATTCTCACCCCAGACCTGAAATCCGCCATTTCTCTAAGGAAGCCTGGTTCCTTTCAGTGGAGAGTGCTGTTTGAGGAGTTCTTTATAACTAAGTCTTTGTATTCATTTTTTTAATGACTTGTTTTGGAAATTGAAGGAATTGGTGAAGTTGCAGAAACTGAAAATTTATTATCATTAGAAGAGAAATTGGTGTTCACTGGAGGACTCCATTTCCAAAGTTCCAGGGGCATAGCATGAGCTTTGCATCCTTTGCCAAAATTCTGGTCCCATGTGGACCTCAATGTACGTAGTGGGAGGACTGGTATTAACATACCAAGGATGTGAGAGTCCTAGCACTTGGGTTTTTTAAAGAAATCATTCTCAGTGTGTGCCAGGCTCTGTGCTAGGTGCTGAGGGTTAAAAACTTGAAGAGCCACTCTTGCCCTCTAGGAGAACAGTTCAGCCTAGCCTAGTTGCACCTCACCTTTACTAGCACCTTAATGTTTACAGTTTACGGTCCGCTTCTGTACACATTGTCCTCTTCCGTCCTCAGAGCGGTGCTATGAGGCAGATAATACTGTCACCATTTTATAGCTAAAGATTTTGAAGTTCAGAGAGGTTCACTTGTCTAACACCATACAATAGGCATAATGTACACCCTAGATGGGGTGTAATCTTTTTAAACCCACAGTTCTTTCTGACCTAGTATGTGGAAATATTGTTGATGTTTTGATTTGAACAGAGATACAGTAAAAGAGATATGACTGCGTCAGCTACGGAAACTAAGCTATTTTCTTCCCCATCCCCCAACAGGATGTAATTGACACAGCATGTGAAGTCCTGGCAGATCCTTCTCTTCCAGAACTATTCTGGGGAACAGTAAGTGTGTCAGAGGGAATTATGCTATAAGATATTCTAGTAGCAAAACAATTGATCAAGCACTTAGTTTGTGATTGGTCTCATATTAAGCGTTTATGTCATTTTGTATTTACTCTTTACGAAAATCTATAAAGTAGATAGAATTATAATCACCATTTTGCATATGAGGAAAGGTGATGCTTAGAGATATGAAGTGACTTGCCTAAGGTTACACAGCTAGATGAACAGCCAGCCTCAGGAAGCAGTTCTGGCTGACTTCAGTCTGTAGTCTGTGTTATTAACCAGCATGTTCTGTATCCTACCCACCAAGTCTTTTTTCACATTGTTAGTCTCAGGCACCAGTAGTGCTGTAAGTCTTGAACATGCTAGTGGGGGACTATAACTCTGAGTTGTCAGAATATTGTTAACAAGTTAGATAAGAATTTGGCTTCAGAGAGAACAGCTTCTCACCAGTACATAGGCTTAGAATTAGCACCAGTCCGAAGCCCCAGGGTCCAGCTGATGAATAAATCTGTTCTCTCTTGTACTGTGGCCTGACTGATATGCCTCTAGGTCTTATCCTCTTCTTCCTGAGTCACTGTCGTCTCGAACAGTGTTCCTGGGAGAGGGTGGCCTGAAACAATATTTAGATTAAGGATCTGTTACTCGTGTGTGGTGGCCAAATGCTAACATGTTGTTGGCCGCTTTTCACATTATTCAAAACCTCTCCTGCAATGGCGGATAGCATTGTCTTCCTGTTGGGAGGATGGCCAGGAAAAGGTCACTGGAGGCAGTGGTATTCTCTTTTCAGGTCCTGATAAATCTGATGTTGAAAGCCTTTCTCAGTGAAATTCTGGAAATCTTCAATTGTTAGGGAGGGGTGATGTCTGCCCGGAGGAAAGGACTGTTTTTAGATTTTCTTATGATTGCTGGGCAGTTCGGAGATGTGTTAATTCACGGATGGTGTTGAAGTTCAGTGACCTCTTTTCTTCTGCCACAGGAGCCAACCTCTGGGCTCGGGATCATTCTGGACAGTGTATGTGGGATGTTTCCCCATCTCCTCTCCCCACTCCTCCAGTTGCTACGAGCCCTCGTATCAGGAAAGTCTACTGCCAAAAAGGTAGGTTGTTCAGTTAGATGCTTGATTTCAGACTGTGGGAGAGGTTTTGGGGGATGCCACTGCCATGGCAAGAATTAGTCTGAAGTTGAACGAACAGTGCCAGAGATAGTGCTTAAGTTCTCTTAAATTAAGTACCTATTGCAGACACTGAGTGAGACACAGTATAAAGTTCCTTACTGTCTCATCGGAAGAGAATAACAATAGATACAAGGAAGAAATAGCTGATACAGCCATACGGTAAATGTCATTTGAGTAGTAAAGACCTACTGTTTAGGAGAGCCAGCAGTCTGTGGAGTGAGAGGCCTTGAGCTAAGTGTTAAAGGGTGCTGAGGATTGGCAAGGAGCATAGAGGCAATTCTAAGAAGAGTCACGGTGGCAGGTTTGTGAGAAGTTTGAGAGTCAGACACAGTCTGACCGAAAGAGCAGAACAGATGTGGGACCCCTTACATGTCCCCGAGGTAAGCGTGTGGCTGGATTTTTTTCTGTGTGTTGGCAGGTGTATAGTTTCTTGGATAAGATGTCTTTCTACAATGAACTTTACAAGCACAAGCCCCATGATGTGATCTCCCACGAAGATGGAACTCTCTGGCGGAGGCAAACGTCCAAACTCCTTTACCCTCTTGGTAAGATGGAGACCCTCCCTGGCTCAGTAGCCACCTCTCCTCAGCTTCTGTTTAGACCTCAGCACTGCTGTTTGAGCCATTTCATGCTCGTTCCCTTTAAAGCAGCTCCTCTCCGCTGCGCTCGTTGAGGAATTATTAGTCTATTTCTCACTTTTTGTATCATTAGATTGACCTGAGCCGAAATCAAGAGTCAGATGCCCAACTGACTGAGCCACCCAGGCACCCCAGATTATTTTATTTAAAAAATAATGGGTGTTCATTGTAAAGAGAAACAGCACAGATAGACACTTTACAAAGTTCATCTGTTCAGACTTGTCTGTCAGATAGTCAGTGTTAAGAGCTGGCATGTGTTCTTGTGCACACCGTACACTCTCCTAGATTGATTCTGCAACTCATTTTTCTTATATGTGGATCTGACTCGTTCTCTTTTAGTAACTACAGAATTATTCTAGATATTCCATCATTTTGTATCTTTTTCCTTCTAAAGGACATGTAGGCTATGTTGGGTTTTGGTCACTACAAACAATGCTCCTTTGGGTACTTGTACTTTATATACTGGTATTTTTATTTTTAGTACATAGAGTCCTCAAACCGGGGTTGTCTGATAAAAGGGTATATACGAGAATAATTTTGTGGGGTAGAAGGGTATATTAAAATAACAATTTTAAATGGGTAAAAGGGTATATATACAGTAACAATTTGAAATACGTGTCAGCAACAGATGAAATAGATCAACAAAATGTGTTATATGTTTACAGTGTGATCTTATTCAGCCTTGAAAAGAAAGGGAATTCTGACACACGTGCTACACATGGGTGACCCCAGCATAGCAGTGTTAGCTAGTGGGACGAGAGTCTGTCCATTTCTGTGTGATTAAATGTTGTTGTCTGATGTAGGAGTCGCTTTTTCCTATTGTATCGCTGGATATTAGACTAATTTCTCTTCCTCTCTTCCTTAGGGGGTCAGACCAACCTTCGCATACCTCAGGGCACAGTAGGCCAAGTAGTGCTGGACGACAGGGCTTACCTGGTACGCTGGGAGTACTCTTACAGTAGCTGGACCCTCTTTACCTGCGAGATTGAAATGCTGTTGCATGTTGTTTCCACTGCAGGTGAGGTCAGCTTGGGGGGACATGGCTGTGGGGAAGAAAAACAGACATGCTTAGAATTGGGGGACAGAGAATCTCAGGATAAAATTCAGAACCGTCCAGACTGGGATCCGTGTAGTGTTTATCTGGGAGACTGTTCAGTAATCTTAAAGGAATTGTTGCTCTCTTTCCCCTCAGATGTGATCCAGCACTGCCAGCGGGTCAGACCCATCATTGATCTGGTCCATAAGGTCATCAGCACAGATCTGTCCATAGCAGACTGTCTCTTGCCCATCACATCCCGTATCTACATGCTGCTACAGCGGTAAGCATCAGCTTACACGCACCCCAGGTTAAAGTCCGCATCTGTGCCTCTGTGGGAAGCCCTGGTGTGATACTATCCCCAGCTGAGGGTTTTCCTATTTTTCCATCCCTACTGAGAGGAGAGACTTGGGCAGACAGAGCTGGAAAATATCTGTGATGGAACACGTTGTATTCATTTCACTGAGTAGAGTACACTATTCTCCAACTAGGCTAACGACAGTAATCTCTCCACCGGTGGATGTCATTGCTTCTTGTGTCAATTGCTTGACTGTTTTGGCTGCCCGGAACCCTGCAAAGGTGAGACACACCAAGTCTTCAAAATAGCCAAAAAATGTTGCACTTGGTGTATACCTGAAGACACATGGACATTGAGCTCTTTTCCCTTCTCAGGTCTGGACTGATCTTCGTCACACAGGCTTTTTACCATTCGTGGCCCACCAAGTCTCCAGCATGAGTCAGATGATTAGGTGAGCCAGGTCTTGGGTTGGGTAGAGCGTATTCCCCAGGAGTACCATATACATTTTGGGTCCAGGCTAGCTACATTACTTTTAAAGAAGCTTCCCTGTGCAGTATTTCTCATCCAGCAGCAACCACCTTAGGTACATGGGAATTAATTTTCCAGGTTGGAGAATACAGAGCTGTCTGGATCCAGAGACGTGGCTTCCCTTTCCTCAGCTGTAGTCACTCTATACTTTTCCTTGTTTCATGGCTTTTTGAACTTGCGTGGTAGGACAATTATTTATACATAGGCTCCATTTTCCTACTTCAGCATTTGCTCCTTGCTTTCTCTTGCTTATTAGACAATGATGTTTTCCTGATGTTTATTTGATTTTTTGAATTTTAAAGCTCTTGAGGTTGTACATTAATAAAGTACTCTCTTGGGGCGCCTGGGTGGCGCAGTCGGTTGGGCGTCCGACTTCAGCCAGGTCACGATCTCGCGGTCCGTGGGTTCGAGCCCCGCGTCAGGCTCTGGGCTGATGGCTCGGAGCCTGGAGCCTGTTTCCGATTCTGTGTCTCCCTCTCTCTCTGCCCCTCCCCCGTTCATGCTCTGTCTCTCTCTGTCCCAGAAATGAATAAACGTTGGAAAAAAAAAAAAATTAAAATAAATAAATAAATAAATAAATAAATAAATAAAGTGCTCTCTTAACGTTGATCTTGGGTATAAAATAGCCTAGATTTGCTTCATTCTTTTGAGAGCTTTCCTATGTTAGGTCCAAGCTATCTAGATAATAAGGATGCTCTGTGATGAGTTTCTTGAAACCTTGAGATTGCCCCGTCCTGATTCACTCTGCCTCTGTTTTTCCCCAGTGCGGAGGGGATGAATGCTGGAGGGTACGGAAACCTCTTGATGAATAGTGAGCAGCCCCAGGGCGAGTACGGGGTCACTGTTGCCTTTCTACGCTTGATCACCACTCTTGTCAAGGTAAACGCTGGTCAGATGGAAATATCTGAAATAGTGTCTCTTCTACCATAGTCATTGTCTTTGGGCACAGCAGTTGTCCTGATGTTATGGTGTTAACAGTTTCTGTGTATTGAGTATTTACTATGTGCCAGATTCCATAGCAGGTACTTTATCTGTGTTAATTAATAAATTAATTAAAAATTTAATGTTTGTTTATTTTGAGAGAGAGCGAGAGAGAGAGAGCACATTGGGATAGGGGCAGAGAGAGGGAGAGAGAGAGAATCCCTTCCCAAGCAGGTTCCGCACTGTCAGTGCAGAGCCCCATGTGGGGCTCGAAATCACAAACTATGAAACATGACTTGAGCCGAAATCAAGAGTTGGAAGCTTAACTGACTTAGCCATGCAGGCGCCCCTGTGTTAATTTATTTAATATTCAGAGGCAGGATGGAATGATGTGGTTACTGTCAAGCTATTTTCATCGTAGCCCAGGGCAATACATATGTTTTATATCTAGGCCCAGTATCCGTGTGTGTGTCCGTGTGTGTGTACGTACTTCTGAAGCAAAGTTTCACAATTCAGCACTTCTCTGACAACGCAAAAGGCATTCTGGTATTTTCTAATAAGCTGATTTCACAATCCACTACTGGATTACAACTCAGTTTGAAAAATACTGTTGTAGCATAGATTTTGGAGTCAGACAAAATTAGGTGTACATGTCAGGCTGACCACTTACTAACTGTGTTGGGCTTGGGCAAACATGGAATTTCTTAGAACCTTTGTAAAAAAGGAGTAATAACATGGTCTCTATTCCTTGGAGTTGTTGAGGGCCACACATGAGAAGCACTCAGCCTACTTTTCTGCCTGCGAGAATCAATGAATGAATGCTTGAAAAGGTAGAAACAGTCCAGAGATAGGGATATAGCTATAGATACTTATACGTAAGTAAAGAATTCCCATTTTTAAGGTGAGGAAGCTGAATATTAGGACAAAGAATTGTGAGTCTGAGAGCTCCTTTCCAGTGTCCCAGAGATAGGGTAGAGGTTAGGCGAATGGCTGGCATCATGATAGTGAAATCAGCACTCCCCATTGCTAACAGTCCTACGTCCTTCATGTTCATGGTTGGTACCTCCCTCTGCCAGATTCAACCTTCTTCTGTCTCCTTCATGTAGATGCCTTCTGTGACACTGAGACATTGTCTTTTTAGTCTTTTTCTCTATTTCAAAGAAATCCACAGCTTGGACCCAGTTGAACTAGAGTGTTCTGATTTTTTTTTTTTTCTCTTACTGACAGCCAGGGTTTGCCTAGATTTCCTTTGGACCTGTAGTTTTAGAGTTAAATCTCTGATAGCTGAATGACTTCCTTAAATGGTTTAAGTCCTTACAGCATGGTTTCTCATAGGGGCAGCTTGGGAGTACCCAGAGCCAAGGGCTGGCGCCCTGTGTCATGTTTGTGCTGAAGGAGATGCTTCCTGGCTACCACAAGTGGCGCTACAACACCCATGGTGTGAGGGAACAGATTGGTAAGGGACACGCGGGCAGGGAAGGCCTGAGCCACTCCTGGCTCTCTGGAGATCTTATCTTTCCCTTTGTTGGGATGAGGGTCATCACACAAGGCCACTTCATTCCTGTGTCTTTTCCGGAGTCCAGGTTGCCTGATCCTGGAGTTGATTCATGCAATACTGAACCTGTGCCATGAGGCAGACCTGCACAGCAGGTATGAGGGGGTGATTGCTTGAACCGGGTATTCTTGGACGCTGCCGCTCCCCAGGGGAAGACACGGGGGGGCTTCTGCTCATCCTTTCAGAAAACTCAGCTGGGTTGAACCCAGAGCTCAGTACTCTGGAGGTTCTCATTTGCTCTCCACTGGACTGTATCCTTTCTCCCTGTGAGTCGAGAAGAGCAAATGAAATGGGGATGAGATTGTTCCCAATGACACACACACATACATATACACAAATTATTTTTTATGATCTTTACAAAAGTTACACATGTTCATTAGGAAAATAGTGAAAATGCCCTTCCTAAACCTGTTTCCAGAGATGACTAGGAAGTTGGTGTGTATTCTACTAGGTGTTTTCCTTTGCTTGTACTAACTGCTCCATAATTTTATTTCCATGCCACTTCATATAGATCTGTCTTGTTTTAGTGGTACCATGCGTTCCATTGTATGAATTAATCATGACTCAATTCAGTAGATGTATCCATTAATCGTTGGGACATTTAGATAGCTTCTCTGGGTTGTTTTTAAGATCAAGTCTACTTAAGGAAAGTGACCAGAGTGTGTTCATCTGACACGGAGCTGATCTGTACCACTGATGTCCAGTTGGTTAGGTTTGGATAGTGCCCTTCTCTTGCAGTAATAAACTTCACAGCTCCCTGGTGACTCAGAACATGTCTGTCTTGCAGTCACAGCCCCAGCCTGCAGTCTCTCTGCATCTGCAGCCTGGCCTACACAGAAGCGGGACAGACAGTCATCAATATCATGGGCATCGGTGTGGACACCATCGACATGGTGATGGCTGCTCAGCCCCGCAGGTGGGGCTCCCTCTCCCCTTCCCCGTTTATCTTAGTGTGCCTGCATGTCCTGAGAACTCCAGTGTGAGTTAATGTGCGGTAGCTTTTTAAAGACAGCCTTATTTCCCCTAGGATGTAGCCTGTATGTAATCTAGCGGCTGCTGCATAGACTGGCACATAGCAAAGGGAGTTGATTGCTCCTCCTCTCTCCTAGTTTGGACTGGGGCCTCTAACAGAAGCTGTTGAACTCTGGGATTATTGTTGGAATCTAATTCATGAGAGCACATATGTTGCGAATGAAGTCATGTTGTCTGAATCAACTTTGGTTTCCATTTGGCACCCTAGTGATGGGGCAGAGGGCCAGGGGCAGGGCCAGCTGCTGATCAAGACAGTGAAACTGGCATTCTCCGTCACCAACAATGTTATTCGGCTGAAACCTCCTTCTAATGTGGTGTCCCCCCTGGAACAGGCTCTCACACAGCATGGTATGTATTGCTCTTGCGAACAGCAGTGCTTCTGCCCACAAGTACGTACTTTAGGCTGTGTTGTTAGAGGCCAGCAGTATTTTCTGACTAATTCCTGGAGGGAGTTTGGGAATGATCACCAGTCCCCATCCCGGACTTAGAAGTGAGAGGGCTGGAATGTCCTTCATTTCTGCCTCCTGTTGATGACGGGATAATAGTTAAGAACCCGTGTTCAAAGTCAGACTGCCTTGGCTCACATTTTGGCTTTAATCTGCTATGTTACCTTGGGCACATTATTGAACAACTCTGCCTCAGGGGATAATAGTAATACCTACCTTACACAATTACGACGGAGGTAAGATTACTACGTGTAAATCATGGAGGGAAGTTCTTGGTGCCTGTTAAGTATTAACTGTTTTATTCTTTGACCTTACACTACTCATTTAATACCTTTGGGACCCTGTTTCCTCATTTTCAAGTAGGTGTTTAGATAATGCCTAAGACCTACTCTTAACTATCATTTTGAGATTTTGATGATTCTTGCATTTCAATGTGACGTCTTTTTCTAACCTGTTTGTTAAGAGACTGTTTTGTTTTGTTTTGTTTTCCAAAATGTCTCTCTTTCTGCTCTTAATGAATTGGATTGGGCTGTTTACCTCCAAATCCTGCATATCCCCTTGGCTACTGAAAAAAGAGAATGGTATGGCCACCTGGATTCGCTCTGGCCCTCCCAAGTACTTGAGGGTAGTAAATTCCCTCACGTGCGTGAGCCTTTTTGAATAGCAGCCTCTCTTAGGAGCTTGAATCAGGCACATTGGTGTCTCAGCTGTTTCCTGTACTTCTTCAGGTGCCCATGGGAACAACCTCATTGCTGTTCTTGCCAAATACATCTACCACAAACATGATCCTGCTTTGCCACGTCTTGCCATCCAGCTGTTGAAACGTCTGGCCACGGTAGGATCCCACTTAATCAGCCAAAGCCCCAGAAAACTGACTTTGTGCATGAGACCACCCCTGCCTTATCTCAGGAGAAACAGCTAGCTTGGACTTAGCCCTGACTTTTACAGTGACCCAGCCATGTACACACCACGCAAATTGTGTTGCTGTCCACACCACACCTAAATTGTGGTTTGTGAGGGTTTTTTTTTTTTTCCTGATTACAAAAGACATGCATACTCATTTTTACATATTTAAACGTTACAGGTAAATGTAGCATAGAAAGTTAAGGTCCACTCTGATCCCTTCGTTCCAAGACTCCCTATGAGCAGATTGGTATGCATTGATCCACATTTCTTTTTATCTGTGCTTTTGTATTGAAGGATGTTTGCTGTGCTCTTCTGTTCTTTACAAAAGTAGAATTGCACCGTCCATACTGTTTTGTGACTGGCTTTTTTCACTGAACCACAGATCTTACAGTCTTTCCATGTGGGCACATTTGGCCTACTTTATTGTCTTTAATGCTTGCACGATGAGCCACAGAATGAATGTATCCTGATTTATTTGGGCTATTTTTTTTTTTTTTTTTTTTTTTTTTTTTTTTTTTTTTTTTTTTTTTTTTGTCTTTCACTATTACAAGCAGTGCTGCAGTGAACATTGTTGTCCATAGAACGCCATGAACTTTTGTTTTCAATTCCTGAATATTAGTTATTAGTGAACATTTTAATTTTGTAGACATTTCTAAATTGGCCTCTATAAAGGATTGTATTAAAAAAAATTTTTTAAAGGGGGTGGGATGCCTGGGTGGCTCAGTTAAGTGTCTGACTTCAACTCAGGTCATGATCTCACAGTTCGTGAATTCGAGCCCCACGTTGGGCTCTGTGCTGACAGCTCAGAGCCTGGATTTGGTTTCTGTGTCTCCCTCTCTCTCTGCCCTTGCCCTGCTTGCACTCTGTGTCTCTCTCTCAAAAATGAATAAACATTAAAAAAAAATTTTTTTTTTAATTAAAGGATTGTAGCAGTTTATATTCCCCCCTTTTTCCTAATTTTTTTTCTAAACGTTTGTTTTTGAGAGAGACAGAGCACGAGTGGGGCAGGGCAGAGAGAGAGGGAGACACAGAATTTGAGGCAGGCCCCAGGCTCTGAGCTGTCAGCACAGAGCCTGACAAGTGGCTCGAAATCACAGACCAGACCGCAAGATCATGACCTGAGCTGATGTCGGACAGTTAACTGACTGAGCCACCCAGGCGCACCCCCCCTACCCTGCTTTTTTTTTAATGTAATCTCTACCCCCATCATGTGGCTTGAATTCATGATCCCGAGATTAGGAGTTGACACTCTACCAACTGAGCCAGCCAGGCGCCCCGACAGTTTATACTCCTAACACCAAGTCTTAACATCCTTGCCAGAGTGGCCCTGTCAGTCTTTTAATCTTTGCTAATCTAATAGACAAACCAGTATTACCTCATTTTTTACTTTGCATTTATCGTTATTATTGTGTATCTTTTATGTTGATAACCATTTCTTTTGTGAATCACTGGGCATTTTGTACCATAGTTTGAAGCAATGTCCCTTTTAACCCACTGCCACATACTTGGATGTTTCCCTTTGTGCCCATTTTCTGAGAGTTCTCTGGCACCCTTCTGCAGGAGCTCGTTGAGGTTTTTCCGGAAGTAGAGCTCTAAGTCTGTGTTTGGTCTCCACCAGGTGGCCCCAATGTCAGTGTACGCCTGCCTGGGCAATGATGCGGCTGCCATTCGAGATGCCTTCCTGACCCGACTGCAGAGCAAGATTGAGGACATGCGCATCAAAGTCATGATTCTGGAGTTCCTCACGGTTGCAGTAGAGACTCAGCCAGGCCTCATTGAACTGTTTCTGAATCTGGAGGTGAAGGATGGCAGCAATGGCTCCAAGGTGAGCCCGCACCTGGGATGAAGCTGGGGGGCGGCCCCTTGGGAGGTGGGTGCAGGCCCCACGGGTGCGCTTGCTGGCAGTGGCCAGGGCCTGAACTCTCACCCCTCTTGCAGGAATTCAGCCTTGGGGTATGGAGCTGTCTCCACGCCGTGCTGGAGCTGATCGATTCCCAGCAGCAGGACCGCTACTGGTGTCCGCCCCTGCTGCATCGTGCGGCCATTGCCTTTCTGCATGCCCTGTGGCAGGACCGGCGGGACAGTGCCATGCTGGTCCTCAGAACTAAGTAAGTCTGGCTCCAGGAGGTATTTACTTTCAAGGCTTGTGTCTGTAAAATGGGAGTAACAATACTTCATACTTCAGAGGTTTGTTGTGACAGCTCACTTAGCATATGTGTAGAAAGTGCTAGGAGTCTGGTTCAGTGTGCAGGAACTTCACTCTTAGTCATCGTCTTCTTACGCTGCTGCCAGCAGGTGTCATCTTTATTCTAGGGCAGAGGCGTGTTTACCTTAGGGTGCCCACCTTTTCCTGCCTTTTGTATTCTTGCCTTCTGCTGACTCCTTCAGACCCACTATTCTTGAGAAACGCCTTCCGATGAGTGACTTGTTCTAGCCCTTGAACTGAATGAGACCCCTGCTCTCTAGGACCCTATTGGCTGAATGAGACCCCTGCTCCCTAGAACCCTGTTCGCTGAATGAGTCCCCTGCTCTCTAGAACCCTGTTCACACAAAGGGAAGGAACATTAAAAAGGCAAACCATGGGAATCTGCGTCCTTATTCCCCTCCCTCTCTCTTCCTTCTGGGGCTGCGGGACATGTGCAGCGGCACAGATCGTGAGAATTTTTACCATTCAACTCTAGAATATACATATAACATATGATTGTGTTTCTTAACGGGAAAGCATAATTGTATCTATGGAACCCTTTGTATTTACGTAGGAGCAGGTCACCTGTGAGACACATGTTAAGACTGGGCAGGTAACTTGGGTGTTAGGACTTGGGTGTGCAAGGAACCACTCAAGGCAGGTGGACAGAACTTCAGGAAGGACTGCCTGAGAGAAAGGATGATTTCCAAATGTATTTTTCTTTCAGACCCAAATTTTGGGAGAACTTAACCAGTCCGCTGTTTGGAACCCTTTCTCCTCCCTCAGAAACATCTGAGGTAAGCTGGGGTGAAGGGTAGGACGGTGACGGAAAGTCTCAGGGAGGACAGGCTGGGCTGCGAGAGGCTGAGGTGTAGAAAATGATATCTCCCCTAATTAAGCAACCAGAGTGTTTTCTTCACTGGAAACTTCTTTCTCAGAGGAGTGCCTGCTTCCTCTCCCTGTGATGTCTTGCTTGGGAAGGAAAGTGGCATGCCCTGCTCTGTGTTGATGGCTCGGTGGTCTTCTCCGCTCGCTGGGAGACACTGTGGACCTGACACTGCAGATGCCCATTCACGTTCGATAGGGACTGTGCTTCCTTGTTTTCCAAGTATCAGGTCCCTGCTCCGTTCCCTCATGGGGGCCACCAGGGAAGAGGTTCTCCTCGTGATTGGTATCTGCTCTGCTCTCCCCTCCACAGCCCAGCGTCCTGGAAACCTGTGCCCTCATCATGAAGATAATTTGCTTGGAAATATACTATGTAGTTAAGTGAGTCCTTTCCCCTTTTGAGATTTGAATTAAAGGTTTGGGGGGAGGGTGTGGTGGCCTGCCATTGGGTTCATGGCTCTTTGAGCCAAGGCAGAGGAGAGAGCTGGTTTGGAGCCATTTATGGAGGGCCGCTGAGTTGTGTCCCTGGCCAGTCCATTGATGGCATTTATGATTGTCAGAGAGAGTTATTGTGAAGCAAACTCCATGTGCCTGGGATTTCATGGAGGAGGAATCCTGGAAAAGGCCTCAACCTAACCCATTATGTTGAGCAAGAAGTATGAACCCCACACAGTGGAGGTGACTGGAGCCGTCTGCCTTTAAGCCCAAGTGAGGTCGCTTTCTCTGCCTCGACAAGGGTCTGTGCCCATCACATTTATGTCCGCTTTCAAAACCTAATCATAGGTTTTATTTTTTCTTGACACCCTAGGGGCTCTTTAGATCAGTCTTTAAAAGATACACTTAAGAAATTTTCCAGCGAGAAACGCTTTGCCTACTGGTCAGGATATGTCAAGTCATTGGCAGTTCACACAGCAGACACGGAGGGCAGCAGCTGCACCTCCCTGGTAGAGTATCAGATGCTCGTCTCTGCCTGGAGGATGCTCCTCATCATCGCCACCAGTCATGTAAGAGCCTCTGGGGAGCGGCGGGTGGGGGGGGGGGGGGGGGGGGGGGGGGGGGGTTTCGCTTTGGTGTCCTAGCAACCGTGTGCTGGGATGCCTGACGGATATACCCCTAGGGATGAAGAACAAATCAGGGATTTTTTTTCCTGAGCTAAAACGTAACAGTTCTGTGCTGGTAGATGGGGGGCTGCTGTGGGGTGTTTAGGGTGTTGGGTTCAAGAGACCTTGAAGGAAAATGCAGAGAAGTAATTTAAAACATTCATAAAACAATAGCATCCATAAAAGCCTCCTGTAGCTGCCCTTGTGGCCCTGAACAGGTCTCAGAGGCCCCCTTCCTTCATCTGCCTCTCACGCACACGTAGAGTCACCTTCTTAGGCACGTCCCCTGTCGACACTAGGTAAATATTTGTAGACTGGTCAACAGACAGCTGTGACTGCTGTGGCAGCACCTTCTCTAGGGTTCTAGAAACTGCATTTCCTGGTTTTAGAAAAAGAGCAGAGGCCATTGTCTCTGCACTGTGTATCTACTGAGTTGGTTTTTAGAGAGAGAAAGTTAGCATTTAAGAATTCGCATTTCGGGGCGCCTGGGTGGCGCAGTCGGTTAAGCGTCCGACTTCAGCCAGGTCACGATCTCGCGGTCCGGGAGTTCGAGCCCCACGTCGGGCTCTGGGCTGATGGCTCAGAGCCTGGAGCCTGTTTCCAATTCTGTGCCTCCCTCTCTCTCTGCCCCTCCCCCGTTCATGCTCTGTCTCTCTCTGTCCCAAAAATAAATAAACGTTGAAAAAAAAAATTAAAAAAAAAAAAAAGAATTCGCATTTCTCCTTTGCGTGCGTGCGTGTGTTTTCACACTGCACCGTCCTGTTGTGCAATAAGGGCTTAGTTTTGAATTGTTTTTCCCTGGGGAATCCAGATTACTATCTTTGCTTCATTAGTAACTACAACTTGGTAGATGTCCCTTGTTCCAAGCATACTCTTATGTCTTCCATGAGTGACATGTTCCCAGTGCCTGACTGGCCACGACTTTGGGACTTTTCTGCATCACATTGGCTGTAGACTCCTGAGACTGCAGACATACCAGAAGGCTCAGCCATCTTTGGAGCATGATTGACTCCTCAGTGGATAGCCTGTGTGTCACTTGCCTTTTAGGCCCTAGCTAGGCAAGAGGTGTTTTGTTTTGTTTTAATTAAAGTATAGTTGACATATAATGTTCTGTTAGTTTCAGGTGGACATCGTGATGTTTCCGTATTTTCATACACAGTAAGATGATTCCCATGCTAAGTCTAGTTACTGTCTCTTAAACATACAAGGCCATTACAGTGTTATTAACTATATTTCCTATGTTGTACGCCATAGGCAGCAGTTCATGGGTCGTAGCTCTGAAAATCCTGCTACCTCTATTTTCTTAGGAAAACTATCTGATTAAGTGTAGGATACTGACCATTCACTTACTCATTTAACATATTAACGGAATGTTCCCCATGTGTCAGGCACCCAGGGATACAACAGTGAACAAGGCAGAGAAGGTCTTTGATCTCCTGGAGAGTGGCCCATGAGGGAGGCAAATTGTAAACAAATCCATAAAGAAAAACAGTTCGAGATTGTGATAATTCACTATGAAGGAGATAATCAGGATGTTGTGGTAGTGAGTGCTTAAGTAGGAGCAGTCAGGAAGGCCTTCTCTGAGAAGGTGTCATCCAAACTGAGACCTGATGTGCAAAGGAGCCTTCCAGGTGGAGAGCCTGTGGAAGAGAGTAGTCTAGGCACATGGTGTCACATGTGTGAGGGTCCAGAGCGGAAAAGAGTTTGGTATGGTTTAAGCAGGAAGAAGAAGTCCTACTAGTAGGCCTGGAATAGGCTGAGCACGAGTGGTGATACCAAAATCAGTTGGACTAGATCCCGTGGGGCCTCTTAGGCCTTGTTGTGAGGCGTTTGTATTTCTAGTGCACTGGGAAGCCATTGAAGGGTCTGAGAAGAGGGGTGTTGTCAGGAGGAGGTGGTGAACCTGACCCGATTTTGACCATGTCTAAGGGTGGACAGAGAAACAACCGGGCAATAATTAGGAAGACTGTGACTAACCAATGACTGATTGCCTGACAGAGGACCCTACGTCTTGTGGCTTTTGTAGTCTGGGGAATTTTCCCAAATGACATTTTTCTCCCTGTTCCTTTGCAGGCAGAGGTAATGCACCTGACTGACCCTGCAGTGCGTCGCCAGCTCTTTCTTGACGTGCTTGATGGGACCAAAGCATTAGTAAGTGTGTCTGGGAAGTTTCTCATTCTTCCTAGGGAGAAGGTCTCACAAATGTCAGGACAAGGGGCTCAGTCGGCCTCGGAGGCCTGAGGCCACAGTGCCGAGCCGTGGTCTCTCCCACGGGCCCGTCCCTGTCAGCTCGCTGCTGGGAAAGAAGGGCATGAGTCTGAAAGGTGCCCTTCGGATGGAGCTCGAATCTCCCAGCCACGTCAGCTCGCAGGAAGCCTGACTTCGGACTGGTCTGCTGTCTCCCCTCAGCTCCTGGTCCCCACCTCAGTGAACTGCCTCCGCCTTGGATCCATGACGTGCACTCTGCTGCTTATCCTCCTCCGGCAGTGGAAGAGGTGAGCACCGTGCCAGGGGAGGGGGCCTGCTCACTCCTCCTTACCGGCCCTTCGCTTTCCCGAAGGGGAGAAAATGTGTGTGAGACGGGCTCGCTTTCCATCGCTAGCAAACAGGGGGAGGCAGGCTGCCTGGTGGGCACCTCTGAATCAGAGCTAGGGCACTTTGTGGCCTTTATTTGGCATGTGTTCTTCCTTCTCTGCCCCGTATTGTTGCTAGGGAGTTAGGTTCTGTGGATGAAATCCTTGGGCCCTTGACGGAGATCCTGGAGGGAGTGCTACAGGCAGACCAGCAACTCATGGAGAAGACCAAGGCCAAGGTGTTCTCAGCATTCATCACAGTGTTGCAGATGAAGGAGATGAGAGGTGAGGAGCAGAGGGGAGAGGGGGCAGCGGTCCCCCGGCTCCACTGGCAGCTGGTCTGGCGGGGCTTCATCTGGTTTCCAGCCACACATTTTTGCTTTGCGGTTTGAGCTGTCAGTCTTGGAATGCCTGTCTTCCAGAAAACTTTTTCTCCCCCATCTGTCTACTTCCTGCTCCCCACGCGGGTGGATCCTCTCTCAGCAGCATACATTCCCCTGTGCCTGCCTGGGGAGGGAACCTCGGTGTGCAGCAGCGAGAGTTGACATGGTGAGTGAGCATCACTGTGTCCCCTCCCTGCCTGTGCTCTGCAGTGAGTGACATCCCCCAGTACTCCCAGCTGGTGCTGAATGTCTGTGAGACCCTCCAGGAAGAGGTAATTGCTCTCTTCGACCAGACCCGCCATAGTCTGGCGTCAGGTGGTGCCACAGAGGACAAGGACAGCATGGAGACTGATGACTGCTCGAGGCCCCGGCACAAGGACCAGCGTGATGGGGTGAGGGAGTGCCCTGGGGAGTAGGCTGTCCTGCCCACGCACATCCAGCAAGTGCCAACTGCCTTGCCTGCCCTGTGCCAGGCCCTCGGGGTGATTAGTGAATGAGACATGTAGTCCCTGCACTGGAAGAGTTTATAGCCTAGTGGAGAACATGAACAAATCAGAGCCCATGCAGAGATGTGTCGGAATTCCATCGTGGCAAGTCCCATGCAGGAGAAACACTGGGAGAACGTGTGGCTTGGGGTTCTCCCCTAATCTAGGGATTCCACGAGATAGCACCCTTTCAGCCATAATTTAAAGCATTGATAGAGTCAGGCAGGTAAAGGGAGCGAGGAAGACTTGGGAGTGAGAACAGGGTGGTTTGCTGTGGTACGAGTCCCCTGGCGGCCAGAGGAAAGGCGGTCGTGAGCGAAGAAGCAGCGAGAGGCTGGAGGGCTGGGGGCTGGATGACTGGCAGCCTTAGCAGGGTCTTTGATGTGGGTTTCAAGTGAAAGAAGAAAGGACTCAAGGATTTAAGCAAGGGAGAGAAATGTGGAAAGATCTCCCTGGACGCAGCATAGAAGAGTGTTTTTCAAACTGGGTGATGACTTGTTAGTGGGTCTTGAGATGAACTCATTTGGTTATAACCAGCATTTTTTTTTTTAACAAAGGAGGATAAAGTATAAAAGAAAATATCTGTGTTTTGTTGGTGGGGGGAAGGGTAGGAAAATATATCAACGTGTGTATACAGGGACACAGCATAAAAAGTATTTATTCTTGTGCGTCATGGTCAAAAGTAAGTTTGAAAAGCCACTGGTATGAAGAATTGATTGGAGAGGGTCCAGGAGAGCGAAGGACCGTTCAGGAGGCGGGTGCAGTGGTGCAGCAAGACGGGTAGAATTGGGCGCAGTGAGCAGGTGTGAGTCGGGAAGCTTGAGAGGTAGTGGGGGAGGGAGGAGTCTAGAACTGTCTCTGGGGGGTGGTATGTTAGCTTGGGGGGAGTGCTGTGCCCCGTTAGGGGGTGTGGGTACAGCCAGGTTGGGAGAGACTCCACGTTTCCATCAAGCTTACTTGGGAGATGTCTGTGACCGAGTGAGGGCTGGGGCAGCCTGGCGCAGGGCTGCCTGTTGTTGTCCTCCCCCCTCATCCCCGCCCTTGCACTGCTTCCTTCCCTCTTGTCTATCTTTGCCCCCGGGCCCCAGCAGGTGTGTGTCCTGGGCCTGCACCTGGCCAAGGAGCTGTGTGAGGTGGACGAAGACGGTGACTCATGGCTCCAGGTGACTCGCAGGCTCCCCATCCTGCCAACCCTCCTCACCACTCTGGAGGTGAGCCTTCGCATGAAGCAGAACCTGCATTTCACCGAGGCATCATTGCACCTGCTCCTCACTCTGGCTCGCACCCAGCAGGTAGGAGGCCAGCCTGGGTGCAGGAGGGAGCCTCCTTGCTTGTGTTGGGTGGGTTCCAGCACAGCCTGTGATTCTCCCAGGAGCTCTGGTCTGCCTTGAGAGCTCGGCTGCCCCTGGGCAGGAGACAGATTCCAGGAGTGGTCGGGCCGGGTAAGTTCCATCTCATTCCAGGTCTTTCCCTCCCAGGGAGCCACAGCAGTAGCTGGGGCTGGCATCACCCAGAGCATTTGTCTGCCCCTCCTGAGCGTGTACCAGCTTAGCTCCAATGGGACAGTGCAGGTGAGTGCCAGTGACTCGCCAGGACCCCTGGATTGGCCAGACTGCAATTTGAGGGGAAAAGTGTCCCTGTCCTTGATCTTTCACACACCCTGGGAGTTGCTCTTTAATGGCTTGTCTGATGCACTGATGGTGTAGACTCCTCACTGCCCCCATACTGATTTCTAGTAAGAGAAGTTCATATGGCTAGTTAATGGCAGACCTGAGTCTAGAACCTGGGATTCTTTTGTATCTGCCTGGTGCTCTTTCCTCGTAATCCCTGGCCTCTGACCCCCTGTGGCCCTGCCGGTCACCAGGCAGTGGCTGTGCCCTTTCTAGGTTTTCTCTTCCGAGCAGCCAGGCTGCCTTAGCTGCCGTGTTGCACGGAGGTCCCGCTACACCTGTCAGCTGGATTCGTTGGTGCCGTGTCCTGATCTCATCTGTTGTCTGTATCTTAGACGCCTAGCACCTCTCGGAAGTCTCTGGATGCCCCCTCTTGGCCGGGGGTCTACCGCCTCTCCATGTCCTTGATGGAGCGGCTCCTCAAAACTCTGCGCTACAACTTCCTGACCGAGGCCCTGGACTTCGTGGGTGTTCACCAGGAGCGGACCTTACAGGTGAGGGGCTGCCAGCATCATAGGAGCTCAGGGGGCTCAGGGTAATAGGGGGGTCTGGACCATTCAGGACCATTCAGCAACTTCTGAGCCTAGAAGAGTCTGATGTGCCGTCACCTCAGCATTTGTGGGTCCAGAACCTGTCCTCCCAATGGGAGGGTGAAGAGCAGGCAGGTCAGGTCCCTGTTTCACTCCATCCATCCTTGTCTCTCCCCTCTCAGTGCCTCAGTGCGGTGAGGACAGTACAGAGTCTGGCCTGCCTGGAGGAGGCAGACCACACTGTGGGCTTCATTCTGCAGCTCTCCAACTTCATGAAGGAATGGCACTTCCACCTGCCTCAGCTTATGCGAGATGTCCAGGTGGGTCCTTGGACATGGTTCCTTGCAAGGGGTCTGGGGAAGTGCTTGGGCATGGGGTGGTGGGCACTGTCTGGGGTACCTCTGGTGAATAGCAGGCACTTGGAACGTGGGCATTTTGCTTTGTGAACACGGGGTTTGGTTTCTTCGTGTTGCTTTCCCTGGAGCTAAAGTTTTCCTTATATATAAATATATATAAAGGGCAGCCTTGTAGCTTAAGAACTTGGGCTCAGTTGGATGGATGTTGGTTCACATCCCTTAGGAATAGGCCTGAAGCTCGAGACCAGCGGGGCCAGGGTCTGGGGAGTAGGGAGAGAACAGGTCCTGGAGCCAGACAGGCATCCATCATTTGTGTGACCTTGGCCACGTTACTTCGCTATTTCTGAAGGTTTTTCTTCTGTAAAATGGGAAAATGATCCCTATCTTATTTCTTTACTGAAGAACTGATCTTAGACATTGAGCTAGGTGGTGGCACGGCACAGGGTGCAGGGAAAGATCCCAGGCATCCCTTGCCCCAGTCCGGAGTCGGGCATACTCTGTGGCTGTAAGATTTGCAGCTCGAGAACACAGGGAGGTGAGCATTGTAGGAGCTGAGAGGAAGTGCACTGGGACTCTGAGGGGGGCCTGCTTGGTGGGGCCGCTGCTGAGAGCTCCCTGCCCCCGCCCCACGTCTGTGTCTGCTGCAGGTAAACCTGGGCTACCTGTGCCAGGCCTGCACCTCCCTCCTGCACAGCCGCAAGATGCTGCAGCACTGCTTGCAGGTAACCGCCCTCCCTGCCGGGCTGCCCGCGGGGCCTCGTGCCGGCTTCTCTGGACTCCACCTCCATTTCTTGTCTCCCTCAGAACAAAAACGGGGACGGCATCCCCTCGGCTGTCGCCCCCCGAGTTCAGCGGCTGCCCGCTGCTGCCGCTGCCGCCCCCTCCTGCTCTTCTAAGCAGCCCGCTGCTGACACGGAGGCCTCGGAGCAGCGAGCCTTACACACGGTCCAGTACGGACTTCTCAAGATCCTTAGCAGGACCCTGGCGGCTCTGCGCCACTTCACCCCAGACGTCTGCCAAATCCTGCTGGATCAGGTACGAGCCGCCCCCTGTGCCGTGCCGCCAGCTGCCCAGCGGTGAGCTGCAGAGGCTCTCCTGTGCTCTGCTCTACCCTTAAGAGCCGTCTGGGGTCCTAGTTGGGCTCCAGATTGCTCCTGTCTTGCCTTGCAGTCCCTGGACCTTGCTGAATACAACTTCCTCTTTGCCCTGAGCTTCACCACTCCCACCTTTGACTCAGAAGTGGCCCCCTCCTTCGGGACCCTTCTGGCCACGGTGAATGTGGCCCTAAACATGCTTGGAGAGGTAAGTTGGGTGCTGTCAGACTCTGGCCTCTCAACCCCAGTCTTCCCCCCGATCTCCTGTGGCATAACTGTGGCCTCCAGCACGTCAGCCTGCCTGAGCCTGGTCCTTTTCCTGAGCGAGCTGGCAGGACCTCGCTGGGAGGAGCACTGTGGGGGCTGAGTGAGTAGCTGGCCAACTGCTAGTGCAGGGCCGCCAAGTCGAAGGCTCACAGGGAGCCACACCTGTTACTGTCACTTTCTCTTCTCACCCTGTGTCTCTTCCTCCAGCTGGACAAGAAAAAGGAGCCCCTCACCCAGGCCGTGGGGCTCAGCACACAGGCGGAAGGGACCAGAACGCTGAAGTAAGAAAGCCCCTCTTCTGGAATTTGATTTGGGGTCAGGGCAGCTGTGGGTCAGCCCTCCTCCTGGCTCGGCGGTGCACCCCGTCCCTGCCGGCTCGGCTGTCTGCAACGGGGCCCCCTGCCCTCTCCCCAGGTCCCTCCTGATGTTCACCATGGAAAACTGCTTCTACCTGCTCATCTCCCAGGCCGTGCGCTACCTTAGGGACCCGGCCGTGCATCCCCGGGACAAGCAGCGGATGAAACAGGAGCTCAGCTCGGAGTTGGTACAGACGGATAGAGGGCTCTGACCAGGGGCGCTGGTGGGGACGAGCCTGTGGGTTCCCACTCGGCCCCCCGTCTCGCGGGGCCCTCATCTAGTACCTTTTCTTTCACAGAGCACGCTGCTCTCCAGCCTCTCACGTTACTTCCGCCGGGGAGGCCCCAGCTCCCCCGCTGCCGGCGTCCTCCCCTCGCCTCAGGGCAAGTCCACCTCGCTCTCCAAGGCCAGCCCGGAGAGCCAGGAGCCTCTGATCCAGCTAGTGCAGGCCTTCGTGCGGCACGTGCAAAGATAGGGTGGGGGCCCGCCCGCCCTGCTCCGGCAGCCTGCATCACAGTCCCGGGCAGCGGGGGTGCTGCGGGCCGGCCCTGCGGCCCGTGTGGACTGAGAGCGGCACCTGTCCCCTCCCCCCAGGGCAGCCACGACTCCAGCCGCCCACCCACTGGCATTATTTTTATAATAGATCAAGAGGTCCACGGCCAGGTGGGAGCCATGAGTCTACCGCACTCACGCCCTCAAGTTCAGAATGTCCCAGGGTGTGGTACTTCCCTTAAGCATCCCCCCCCCCCCCCCCCCC